GTGGCGCTATTCAAAATATGAGTCAGTGGATGTGCCCATTTAAGAGGAAAAATTTCAAAATTGTTTGTATACAGCTTTTGTTACAATGTACAATACAAATAGTAACTAAATGCTGCATTTGAATTATTATACCAGATTTCAGATAATTTGCATCCATGTTTAAGCCATAAGAAATAGAAGGAAATGCTCTGATAACTTTGAAAGTTATCTCGTGACTGAAAAAAGTTTTAACAGGTTTAAATAGACCACCATACTGTGCCAAACAATATTTATTTCCACGTGTTGTTAAATGTCCTACGAGTATTTTCCAACATTTAATATACAATATTGTTTGTAGCTTCAATTATTTATTTTTCACGAAGTTTGTCCAAACTATCAGCACGTTCATGGTTATGCCGGTAAATCAGGAGATCTAGTAGGTCATTTAATCGAACTCCTTTCCCTATAATGCAATTGGGAAAACTTACCAACCGCTATCGCATTATAAGCGGGACAACTGTCTTGTTAATACCAAATTTCATAAAAATTAGTATTAGACAAACCTTTGAAGCGCTGGAATAGTTTTCTCTCTCAAAAGGTTATTGTATATGGCTGAATTTTTATTACCGTTAATAAAAAGAGGAGCCTATAAGACAATCCCCCAAAATTCCAGTCCATACATTAACTTTTCGAGGTACTGGGTCTGTTGCAAAATACACAGAAAGTAAATGTAAGGATTCCCAGTTGGCTACGGATGTAGAGGAGTTGTAGGTACTAAATGATTTTTGCGGTTGTTATTTTTTTTTAATTTATTTTTCATTAAGTTTTACATATACAACTGATCTTACAATTTATTAATTTTCATGAGATACCACCATATATGTACGTGAATTGTGAAAAAATTTTAGATATTAATAACTCATCTATTTTAAGATTTTATTCTCATTGTTCATGTACCAAACAAAAAGGAGGAGGAGACTTTAATAAAGAACCAAAAATTAAATTAGTTACATATTAAGTGAGCCTTAAGG